TGCTAAATAAAATTTTGTCTGCATGTTGCCATAATGAACATTTATACTTTTGATGATAAGCAAAATTGCTTCAATTTTGCCGCAATATTACTATAATCAAACACTTTTACCACAATTGTTACCGCAAAATTACTATAAAGTTACTCTATTACAATTTGTGTATTACTTTGCTTGCAATATATTGCATCAAATGAGGACTCACTTTGTTGGCAAATTGCTTGCAACATTTTTAAGCAAATTTTCAGTAAACTGCCGACAAAATGTTATCGGAGAAGTATTTGTTTGTACTTTTTGTTGGTATAAAAACATTTTTCTCAGTGTACAAAAGTAATAAATTGCTATAGTGAATGTATTTCCGTCCGAAATAAAATAAGATTGTCATAAAATACACGGAAAGTACGGATAACAGTCCCGTTAGCGATTGTAGGATCGATATCGTTTGATCGATAAGTTAATTTTATTTAATTTTAGCATCAATCACTGTCAGTTGCAAATCTGTGATTAATGTTTTTCTGCACATAGCGTAATGCATTATAACACAGGAATTACTTAATCAGCTTTAATGATACGTAATATAACGGGAACACATTCCTTACCTGAATAAATTTTCTCTATTGTTTTTTTAGTTCTAGCTCTAAAAAGAAAATTTCAAAAATTTTAAATAATTTTTAATCAATATTTATGGATAGTAATTGATCAAATATCTTCATCGTTTTATATAATTTAAAACGTGCTTGATTTAATGTAAATATAATAATTCACTTCGGAAAATGCGAATCATCGCACATGGTAAATTTTACGTCTGTGCGTAATCACGAGGATACGTGCAAATAAACAGGATATTGACGAGGAACAAGTTGTTTGGCCAGTAATGTAAACGCGTTTCCGCGAAAGCGAAAGCTTACGATGTCATCGCCGCCGGCTGCCACTGTCGCTGTCATGTAATTTTTTTCTTTTCAAATAGTATAATTTTGATAATTGCAATGCCGATTTGGGCTCACCACTTTCTAATGCCAGTCAAGTGGCATCTCCGTCTTTGCAACTCGATTGTAAAACGTGTATACTTACGTATTTACTTAGTACATATAATTTTGTTTATCTAATCACTTAGAGAGAGATCATTTACGTAACTTGAATGGATCTTGTGATTGGCGCTTTTCAAGGCCATGAGAAAATTGGACAATTAAAAAAAATTTTTGTATCTCTTTTTTTTTTTGTAATTACAGAAACTTGAGAAATATCCTAAAAATAAAATAATTAGGCTTTACGTGAAATATTTTCACATACATCTTTGTCTCTGTAAATAAATGAACAGAATGTGTAACTTTATTACATCGAATATTTTTACAAATATCTTTGTCTCTGCAAATATACAGGATATATGACTTTTATATTGCGTTTTACATACGGTAATATATAGCGTTAATAATTTTGGCATCTTTTTCAGCAGATTTTGATCTGCTGAATATAACATTGTAGAAACCAGGAAGTGACATTTTCTAGACAGAAACAGCGCAGCCGGCGCAGATAGATAGTAACGCGTTCGTGTTGAAAGAGCGCGAGTGTTATTCGAAACAAATGATCCTCCAGGCATCATAACGATTACGCTTTCCTCGGACAATGTTCTCTCATTATAGCGTAGCGGAGCCTTTCACCTTTCTTCGTGCATTAAGTTCGCGAAATTTGCGAATACCACGGTGATACAGGTTGCACGTGGAGGGTGAAAGTAGTGGCCGGTTAAGGAGAATGCTTTCCGGTCGTCGAGAAGTGTTGCTTCAAGGTGGACTCAGACCAAGCTGGCAAGGACGAACGATCATGAGCAAAACGTTCACAATGGTTCAACGAATATGGGCGAGCGTAATGAACTTTTGTCTCTTATATCGATAAGAAATGAAATCTGATTCATTGATATAAAGTCTCGTTCCAATTTGCAACGTCATCCACGCTCAATGAAATTTATTTGTATTAGTTCATCTACTTTACCTTGATTGGATCTTTATACACGCAATATGATCGTAGATGATCACCGAGAGAGAGGGGGGGGGCAAAGAGAGAAAGAGAAAGAGAAAACAGTAATTGAATCTCACGTGCTCATTTGCAAAAATTGTAGTATGTATTATAAAACGCTCGTTTATGGATTTCTTTTCACGAATTGTGTTGTCGATATTTTTAAAATAACTTTTTCTGAAATCATGACATTGGCATTTTGTTTTCGCAAGAATGAATGCAAGAACCCTGACCCACTTAAAATCTTGAATCTATCCGAACCGCAGATGGCTTTTCTCTCGAGTTCCTGTTTGTGAAGAAATTCATATGAAGAAAGAGGGCGTGTTTATATTAGATATACTGAAACGATCTAAATAGTTTCAAGTTTTAAGCATCTATTTAACAATAATGTGCACAGTTAGGAGCATGATTTTAATGTTTTGCAACTAAGATTCAAGAATAGATAAAATTTTCCTTGACATAAATATAAACTAGAACTAGTAAACTAGAACTAGAATTAATAAAGGTCAATTAATTCGTCTCATTTGCGTCATAAATATTTGAATTTTATTAACATATAAATATTAAAAATTGTAAATTAATTTAATAAATCAAATATTTCTTCACAATATTCATAAATTTTATGATATTAAAATATATTTGATATAAGCAACAAATTATAATATACGTCACATTAAAATATGTTTAATTTTAAATTTGGAATATATCGATTTCTCTAAATACATTTAGGAATATTTTTGGTATTTCTGCGAATTTTATTTCATTGTTTATAAGAAATAAATATATAAGATTAAACGTATAATTAATAAATATTTATACATATATTTATGTATTGAATAATGTGTGTAATTGAAACATCATCTCTTTACTTTCGCCGCACTACTTTCAAATGGCATAATATCGAAAGTAAAAGTACGTAACGACTGATTGTAATCGTAATTTTAGCATCTTAAGAAAATTCAAAAAACATTCTACAATATTTAACCAGATTATATATTTTAATATTACTTCGATTATATCAATTTCTAAATGAAATTAGGTCCTGCAAATTTCTTCTTAAATTTTATTTATTATGCAGTTTAAGATCACAAATTTTTAAAAATATCAAAAATATTCTTTCAGTAATAAACGTTTTTTTAAACAAGAAATAATATTGTAACTAATATATACATATCCTTTCGGATAGAAATTTACTGATGTTCGAGTAAATCAAATTAAAATTAAAAAATCCAACGACGGACAAGTAAAATGTTCTTAATGTTTCTAAAAAGAAAAGCAATCGCGATTTGCAATTTATGTATGTACATTCAGCAAACGTATCAATTGATCAAGGAAAGTGAAGAGCGTCGAAGGCGTGACTTAAATGAAATCGCATTGACTGTTTCACGTGAAGCCGACACGTTTGATCGGTTCTTTCTTGTGTCGCTTCGCTAAAAGTGAAACCTCGTGACGAAAGTAGGCAAACGGGAGGAAACCGGAAAGCAGACGTTGTTTAGTGAGAATGTTCCTGGCCAGTTCATCAACATGACTTTGACGTCGGCGTGTCCCATTTCTGCCGCACGTAACCGTATAGCGCGAGAGCAGTGTTCTCAAAACTTTAACCGACTTTAATCTTAACGGTAAACTTTTCTAACAAACCCAAAATCGATATTTACTCGAGGAAAGTTACGAAAAGAGTGCCAGAATCTATTGGCTTCGTCATACTTAACGTTAAATATTTTCCTTGATAGAGGTTCTCAAATTAGAATTCCGCAAAATTAAATTCGAAACTCTATTATTACAATAAACGGCGGACAATTTCGAGATATGCCGTGCAAACATTTCGTTCCCATAGTCGTGATGCAACTGGAAGGGGATTGTTCTCGCATCTCACCAAATGATTTAGCACGATTATCTGCAGTGCAATGTAACGTAGAAAGCTGCATGAGAGAGAAAGTTGTAATGCATAGGAAGTTACATATACACCCAGCACGTACAAAACTGTTTGATATGAGATAGAGTACGATATAATCAGATCAAAAATTAAATATATTACGCCTAGTATAACGTAATTAATTATGTAAAGTAATAACGCGTATTATTGAGTACTTGTTATGACGTAAAAATAGATATAACAATTATGTAATGCAACTAGAGGCATCGATAACGTTAAATTATACAATACAAGTTTGTAATACAAATTGTAGCAATTAATTAAAAAAACAAAGGTTTAAAGATAAAGATCTACTCGGAATAGGAAATCAACGATGTATATCCATTATCTTTTTTTAAGGATATATTTTTCATTATAATAAAGATAAATGTATCAAAAACAACATCCTGTATTATAATGAAAATAACTTCCTGTGTATGGCAAACAATTTGTTTCAAGAACGAAGAAGATCCTGTTCTTGTAATAAAAAAGGGATGAAGGTCATCTTCTTTGATCGTTCATTCCCTCTTCAACTGCAAGGTAGAAGATAGAACTACTACGTAAAACTACGAGTAATACACAAACTAGTGATTTAATTAATATTTATATATTGACTGAGCATTAAATAAACTGTAAAACAATTGATAAATTGATAAAAACCGATAGTTTGATCTTATAAATATAAAACTTATAAATATAATTTATATTAGCAATTAATTTTTCAAATTATTTTCGAGAAAATAATAAAAATAATTAGAGAAATTGATGAATAAGCGATATTATTATTTTTGTAATAAATAAATGAGTCACTTTAAATCAATCGGTAAAAATTATATCAAAATTATATAGACGGTAACATTAAAAAAAAAAAAATTTATATATATATTTATTACTTATACTGAGATACACAATTTTCATAAGAATCTCAATTTATTAAAAGAAAAAAATATCTTGTTTAATATACAAAAAGGAGAGACATTAATCAATTTTTGAGAATTTGTAAAATTAGAATTAAAATAATAACAGTTCAACTGAATAATAAAATAATATTAATGAACAAAAATGGAAGGGTTGAGCTTACCTTTAAGAGCCCATAGTTCTTCATTCTTTAGAGCATCGATGTATGTCGTAATGTCTTTGCCGCATTGTACTCCGACCGGGTACTTTCCTTCGATCCAATTTCTTACTAAATTACGCGCACTAAAAATATCCAACATCTCCGACAGGCTGGTCCAGTTTTTTTCAACTATATTGATCGTCATTGGCAAGCTTCGTACTCGAAGAGTCGGTTCTTCTGCGGCATTGTTCGGAATATTTGTAGATGTTTCTTCGGCATGGATAGAAATATAGATCACGGAAAATATGAGTGAAGTTAAGAACGGCAGGTGCATTATGCTCCCCATGTTTATCTCATAAATGTTCACAGGAAAGATGTATTTAGCGTTTACAAAAAATTTCAGCGAGATTCACTAGATCCACATAATCGATGTTTAGGCAAATCTTTGAAATCAATTGTCAAGATCAGCAAAAAATTTTCTCTTCTTCTGGCAGTCGATCTTCTTGATTTACTGACAAAAATTCACAAAATATTTAACTTTGAGCAAATAAAACATCGATTTTCTGTCAGGATGCTCGTGACATTGCAAGAAATATCATTAATTTGTCAAAAAAACTTGCGTATCTATTTCAGCATTTGAACGATGGAGCCCTTAATCACGTCTGAACAAGACTGCTTTATATTTGCATCTTCACTTCTCTGAGTTGCCTATTAGAGAATCCCGAAATTTTTTCAAGTTCATGATAACTTTCAGACGTTTATGTTGTTACGTCCGTTCTCACAAAGAAAAAGAAAAAAATGAATATAAAAAAGATGATCGACTACGTGCGTCTCCAAATGGATCCTTCTGTCCTGCTGGATGACCACGGATCAACTGTACGGGTCGGTTGTGGTCCGACCAATGGTTCTGAAATGTTCTCGCGGTATTATAATGAAAATCATGGTGGGGCGAAGTCTTCCTGTGGAGTGAAAATCGAAAACCTTTAGAGTGGTTGGTGCGCGAGACAGCGCGAGCTCATCGACACGTGCGTTCGCGTGCGTTCTAGTCATTTAACATTTAGAGAGACTTTTCTTAGTCAATTTAGATTAATTTTACGATTTTATCTGAAAATAATTGAACAGCATAACTAAGAGCTACTTTTTATGTATATAATCTTTGATAAAAATCGCACTGATTTATTGAAGAATTCACTATTAGAATTCATAACGGTCGAAAGACGTTTTCCATATGTGGAATTCAATTTAGATCTATTGTTAAAATGCTAAAGAAATCGACTAAAATTTGCATAATCATCGACAAAGAAATATATTACATCTTTTATACAATCTCATGTAAAGATGGAACTCTTTTAAATTTTGTCTCAAAACTTCCGCTTTGAAAAGAATAAGTCTGCATTTATGAATTTTTTACATTCGAGAAATATACACGTATATAAATGAAATTCCTAGAAATTGTGCGTTATTACTACATTTTAAAAGCATAAGACCGTTGCATAACTGTAATTCCGATCTCGCATGTATCCGTTATCCGGTAAGAGCTGGTGTTTAGTTTGAAAAATTTATCCGATTAGTATCATATTATCAGTTTCAATTGAAATTAGTATTGCATTGTCGATTTTGATTAGAAATTTTTACAAATATAAAAGCTGTATCTTTTTGATAAGCAAGTAATACACATATATGTTGAAGCAATTTCGTAATTTTATGTTTAGACGACAAATATAACATTATTCCAAAACATTTAGAAATAAGTCATAAAATAGCGACCAAAGATATTTTTAATTAAAAATTGATTTATAATAACTATTTCCCATCTATTTCAATTAGCAATAATAAAGTAGATGGTGCTAAAATAATTTACAAAAAGAACAAAAAACAGTACGGGCCATGCTGTTTCCGATTATGAATTGCAAAACTTTCAGCATCGTTTCGCATGACTTCGTGTTGGATTAATGATGGACCCTAGAAGTTTCACTGTGAAATTTCATACTATTAGAGGACGTCTTCTCTTTCTCTCTTACTAATTCTTTGACAAACTATCATTGGTTGTTCAGTCATGCTGAAACTTCTTTTTTCTTGGGACTCTGACGATGTTATGAACATCACTCGTAATGTCGAAAAAAAATGAAAAAAAATCTTTTTTATAGTATTATTGCGGGGTGTTTACATGTTCGATCGTATTAATCATTCATTTGCCGTAATAAGTAGTTTCCAAAAATAATTTTTTCAATACCTGCGATAATTATAGAATATTTTCTATCTATAAACATTTCAACTTACAAATATGTTATACATCAATGTAGAAAACATTTAGCATTACTCATGAAGAAGAGAAAATAGGTCTATTGCGTTTTTTATGCAAATACTCATTAAAAAATAAAGAAATAAACCACGTAGTACTGCAAGCATTTTAATAAACTATAATTTGCTTATGCAAGCGATACGATTTAGAACTATATACACGCCTTTAAAAACAGATTATTTATGCAATTTGACTTAATTATGTTTCATTCATAATCTTTGAAAAATACATCTCACTGCAAACATTTAATATTCTTAATATTATACTTTTATAATTTTTTATGTAATATTAACAAGTTTTTGTAAACAAAATTTATTTATATATTTTATATATAAAAATGTATATTTTCTATATAATAATACATGATATAATAAGTAGTATAATTTTAATAATTTTTGCGAAATAGTTTTCTGTTAAATAGAGAATAATCTATAACGCGTTATTTAGGTTTAACTGGAATTTTATCTTTTTAACAGAACAATTTTAAGGATAAGTTTTAAAAATTGAAATAATTTATATACACCTATAGAAAAAAGACATTGTTTTCATTAGTTTTCTTTTACTTGTCAGGCATTTTTTTGAGATATATCACATTTATTGTATTAATATTATATTATATAATATTAAAAACTATATTGTATTAATATTATATTGTATAATATTATAAAATATAATTATTAATTAATTTATATTGTTTTTTTTAAATATGTATATCAATACGTGTTTATTTCTCTTCGATTCCTTAAAGCGCGTGATGTGCGATGTGCGTAATTATTTTGTTTTATCTTTATTTAACATTTGGTAAACGACAAGAGTAAAATGATATGAATAGTAAGTATAATATATAGATAGTAATAAAATTTATATGCATTGTTGTGTCACTGCGTTTTGACTGTTTCCAGTCGCATAATATTTACATTTTATTATACCTATTCAATATAAGTATGTGATAAAAAGAGATCACTTTCCTAGATAAAATAATAATCTCGCACATCTTAAATCGCATTTGTTTCAATATTTCGTTTAGCGTGTCATAACATTCGCTAACATTTTATATTATTTTCCCATTGTTTTATTAATAAAATACAATAATAATACGATAATATATTATATTAAATGTCGAAAAATATAGATACTTAAAATTCGTAATAAACATATAAAACTTAATGCATTCCTCCAGTAACTTCAATAGATGCTCCGTTTACATAAGAACTCTTATCAGAAGCTAAAAATGCAATAACCTCTGCCACTTCTTGTGGCTTTCCCATTCTTTGCAATGATATTTTTTTTATAAATAATTCTTTAACATTATCCGGCACAGTCATAGTCATAGAAGTATCTATAAAACCAGGTAGTACTACGTTCACTCGAATACCAAATCTGTAGAAAATGCAATATATTTATCTCTTAATTTAGAAATATTTTAAATAAAGTAATATCGTGATGTATATCTAATACATACTGTCCAAATTCCATAGAAGCGCTCTTTGTCATAGCTACAACTCCAGCTTTGGATGCACTGTAGTTACTTTGTCCAATATTACCGTTTTTACCGACAATTGAACCGATATTGATAATCGAGGAATCTTTGGTTGCATTTGCTTCTATCATTGCTTTAACTGCAGTTTGCATAACTAGAAAAGTACCTTTTAAATTGACATTGATTACATCATCAAAATTATTGTCACTGAGTTTGACTAAAAAGTTATCTCGTGTAATGCCCGCTGAATTAACAATGACAGTAGGTGGTCTTGAAAATTGCTTCAAGACATGTTTAAATGCTGCCTCCACACTGTTCCGATCAGTGACTTGAACATCCAATGCAGTATGTCCGGCACCTGCATAGTGAATAAAGTATTAATAAATACCCAGCAAAGATATAATAATTCTGTATATCAGTTTCAATTAAAAAAAAAATTAATAGAATCATATAGACCTTCCAAAGTGGCTACAGTTTCCGTAGCAGCTTTGATATTTTGATCGGTTGCAATAACAGTAGCGCCTTCTCGAGCAAAAACTCGACATACTTCTCTTCCAATACCATTTCCTGCACCTGTAATATAATTGAAAAACTCAAAATTGTGTTATAGATTTCAAGATTATATTTATATGAATATTTCACATATTATATTATATTTACCTGATATAAACTTTTTTCACATAAATATAAGGAAAGAATAATGAAATTGTGAAATGTTAACATTAAATTTTGGTATTATTATTATTACTAAAAGATGTTTAAGACATTTAATGTTAAAAATTGGAAAAATGTAAAAAAATTGCAAATTTCACATATTTATAAATATAAATATAAATATAAGTAATAT